CCCTTGGAGTCACCAGGAACAATGGCCACAAGCTGAGGGAGGATAGGTTTAGGTTAGATATTAGGAAGAACTACTTCACTGTAAGGGTGGCCAGAGCCTGGAATAGGCTTCCCAGAGAGGTGGTGCTCTCACCTTCCCTGGAAATCTTCAAAAGGAGACTGGACAGGCACCTGGCTGGGGTCTTATGACCCCTGCCACCCCCAGTGCTCCTTCCTGCCCATGGCAGGGGTTCGGACTAGATGATCTGTCTCGGTCCCTTCTGACTCATTGATTCTATGATTCTATGAGATTGAGGATTTTTTTTAAGATGGAGAAGACTCCATCTTAAAATATGTCAGTATTTTGAAATGCGAAAGCTAGAAAAGAGGGAGAGGTTCAGAAGTATAAAGGACAGCATGAGAAGAAGCATAAAGGAGGTCCAGCAATAACCAGGTAATGATGCCAGGTATGGAAGAGCCTTACTGATGTTGGCTTCTCCCACTGTGCATTCAAGGCCAGGCATTCACAGATCACAAGACTCACTCTTTCCTCCACTTAATGTGAAGTCAGCTGTCCATTATAATTCTGTTGAGACAGCATCTAAGATGTGAAAATCACTTCTCCTAGGCATGCAATTATTTTTAGTCTTCCCTTTTGACCATTACCTTAAAAATATTCTTTTTTCCCAAAGTGTTTTGAGGAAACACCTACTTCTCACATCTTTCCTTTTTTCAAATTTCCCCTGACTTGATTTCTTACTGGACCTTTGTATTTTGGAGTGTGGGATTTCATTACATGTTTTATGTTTTTTTCTGTTTTATACCATGCCAGATAACTACATGGGTAGGAGAGGGGCACTGTGTTCTTTAATTTCACTTATTGTATTTATAATAAGTTGCAGTTACCACATGAGACCAATTATTTTCTGCCTAATGAATCATGTTAAAACAATATGTGTCATACTTACTGTAAATATAATCATAAAGAACATTAACATATTCTTCACCGGGGAGAGAGAGGATTCTTAAGATAAGGCTCCATTTGGGATCTAAGTTGTATTACATTACTGGGATTGTGGGTTTCCTGTGAAGTAGGAATCCCTCTTAGCTGTGGTCTTCCTTCCTTGTTCTGCATGACTCACCCGATTGACTGCAACAGCAGGAAGTGGTTTGTTTTGATTGGAAAGACAGTAGGAGTCAGTCCTTTGCAGAATTAAGTTCAGTTTCTCCCATTTAAGACAACTAAACTCCTTACATTGTAAATAACTCTCTCTTTCTCTCTGCTGTTGTCATAATGTTAAACAGACATGTAAACATAGACATGTAAAGCTAAACCATAATGGACTTTGAAACAATTACTCTCCATTTCTAAATAATAAAATAAAAGTCAGAATGTAAAAGCCTCAGTAAAATCTAACCTTCTGTCATTATGGGCCAGCACCTATTTCCCCTTCATGTACCCAAGTGGTGGGTATGTAGTCTTGTCACTGCAGGTTTTGGCACTTATGTGTAGTTTGGGATACTGTTTCCCCCTGTGGTGAAATAGGAGCACCCTGAGTGCTTACCTGCTGGAAGTGAAATATAGGAGAGTTCTTTTACCTCTTACCCCAGTGGCCAAGGGCATTTGCCCAGAGAGTGGGAGATCTAGGTTCTAGGCCTCCTCACCCAGAGAAGGTCTGAACTTGTATCCCAGCAAAGGGGATCTAATCACCAGGCCATGGACTAGGCATTGCCCAGAGCACTCTGTGCTCTCCTTGAAACTCTCCACAGCTCCTTGCATTAAATATTCATTGGATAAAATAAATAAACAGCCCCTTCTTTTCCAGGCCAGCAGCCATCTAAAGAAACCACAGTGTTTCTGGCTTGTTCCTATCTTGCTGGTCCCACATATTTCCCTCTCTTGACTGTGCAGGAAGCCAGTTTCAGGAGGAGAGCTGGAGAGGACCTAGAACCAAGGTTTCCCACTCTGTGGGCAAGTATCCTAACTTTTAAGCTGTAGGGCTAAAACATAGGAGAGACATCCTTCCCCTCGTTTAATGTATAATAACTACTAGTCATGCTTTTTCTCTGTCTATAGTTTTGCCCACCATAACACACATGCCAGGGCAATTACGTTCTTCCCTAGGCAGCTGCCCAGCCAGAGCACATTCAGTAGGTTAGGTTATGTACCCACTACTTGGGCATGAGATTTTTAGCACAAACAACAGGCTGGTATAATATAGAAACTTTGCATTAAGCACAAAATTCAGCATTAGAATGGTGAAATTCCCTTTTAGAAAAAGCCAAAAAGCTGTGGTGTGCAGGGGAAAAGAGATTTGGCAGCCCTGCTTCTGTGCTGTCCAGTGGCCCACTTTTGGCCTTTAACTGATGTGAGCACTGCAGGCATTGCCACTGCTCAAGTCAGAAAGCCATGAGTACTTGCCATACCAGCACAGAAGGTGGTAGCCACTGTCAAGCAATTAAATATATTTCAAGCTATTTTAACCTGACGTTGAAAGTACTAATCATTTATAGTCATTCTGACTTCAGTAGGAACTGAAAGAACTCAGCCCCACTTAACTGTATTATGTGCCAAACCTGTATGTTAGAAATGAAGAAATAAGATTTCAAATAATATAAAATAAATCTGTTTTTCCTCTGCCTGAGCTATATGGAATTTGTTTCCATAATTTTGAATAATTATTGGATGCTTTCAATACATCTCTGTTGTAAGTTATTACGCAAAACAGAATGCATCAAAACTATTTTCCACAGAAGTCACTGTGCCACAGGTGCTTGACTATAAGAGGGATTAAATGCATTGTGCCCTTGGAGCTTGGGAGATGTGAACTCCACAGTAGTTGAGTAGAATGCTTTGAGAAAGGTTTACTCAACCTCCGCAAGAAGTAGCTCATCTTTTCAATGCCTCAATTATATTCACCACCCTGTGGTGCCATGAGGCATAAGCTATTGTGTGAAGAGCTCTGAGTTCTTGGATGGAAAGGGCACACAATATTATTATATGTTGCTCTGTGAAGGTTACGGAAATTTTGATGCTCAGTAAATCTCATTGGATGTGTCCAGTTAACGATTCTGGATCTCATTCTTTTGAAGCTCCAGCATTTTCAGGAAGAACTTGTGCTTATGATGGAGTGAAAATCTTCCGTGGGACCAGGATTACTTCATACCCTGTTGCTACAATGTGTGGCAATGAGATTCCTGGACCTATGAGTACCTTTGGATCCATGCTGCTCAACTTCTACACTGACTCCCGTATTGTAGGCCTTGGATTTCTGGCAAAATACAAAGTAATCTGTGAGTAGCCAAATACTATGCTTTAGTTGGTAAAACTTGTCAGGTTTGAGATACAGTTCAAAATAGAATTCTTCTTCTCCAAGTGTGCAACATAGGAGACATTACATCTCACTGTGATTCTCCCTTAGGTTGGCAGAGATATTTACACTCCCGCTTCCACAAAGAGGCTGTTCAGGAACAGGTCTAGGGAGTTTTCGGCATATTTTTTCACTGACTGTCCAAAAGCTAATAGTGCTGTATCTTGGGCATGTTACTCCTGTTTACAGGAATTATTACCATGAACAGTTCTACATGGGGCCAGGTCAAATTCTATGACTACGTTAGTGATTTACAACCATCTGCTCCACAAAAGCAAGAGAACTGAGTTCAGCTGTGCTGTGTTATTTTTAATTAAAATGTTGCTCCAGAGAAATGTCACCAGTTTATTTAACTGAGGAACAACTGCTATTGCATGCAGGAGACTGGCAAAACTTTGGGCCTGATTCTCAGTTACACTAAAAGCTCCCTCTTCCACACCGGCAGCATAAAATGGGCTCAGTTACACCTACACCTACTCAAAGATTCCTTTGCACTCCCAGACAGTAATTCATTCGGCCATAGTTTAAATGAGAAACAGATTTTAAATATGCTTTTCATTTCAGTGTATACAATTCCATTTATAAAAAGGAATGTGTATTAAAAAGAGAAATGACAATAGGAATGTTAATATTAAGCCATCAATAAATCTATTTTCAAAATGAATTTACATATTTTCTTGTTTTTGAAAACCCATTTCATTTGCCATCTGTGAAGCAAACACAAGTGCTCATAGCACCTCTGAAGTTTCCCTCACTGCTCTCATTTTCACAATAGCCCTAGCAAAATGCATAAGATCAAGTAGTTCTATATAAAATTAATTGTCCTGATACTGACAGATTAGACAGTATAGCACCGATGGTTATCAATGTGCATTTACTTATGAAAAGGACCTTCATAACTTATTCAAGTTGGCTGCTGCTATCTGACTTGTGACTTCTGACATTTGAGAAGTATGACTACAGCTTTATTGGTTTGTTACTCTATACAAAGCAGATTCTAGCAATTAACATTCCTTTTCCTTCTGGTTGTACTGTTTGCTGGAAAATAATGGAGAAGGCTTCCCTCTGCTAGCTTAGCATGAATACTACTTTTTATCTTCTTAGCTCTTGTTTCTTATTTGTCCACATTCCAGTGTTCGGTGCTCAAAAAGACTCCCAAGCATAGTTGTTGATGCAGAATGAGGGGTTGTACATTCACAAGTGTTTTTTGCAATTTTCTTTGTGAGGATAGTGGCTAAGGCAGTGCCTAGTCCTTAAAACTGGAGAGGCTGTGTGGGGGTTTGGGCTGTTTATCAACAGGATACAAGAAAGCCTGTTGCCAAGTTAAGACTGTAAAGGTCATGGCTAACAATTAAGTTTGGAGCCAGGTTTATAACAGCATTTCTTCTCTTGAGCATTAAAGTTGGGAACAAACATTAGGCCATATCCTGACCTAAGCAGTGTCCATGGTGTGAAAACCACAACAGCAAAATGGGACCCTTAATTCTACAGCTGCACACGCTTGACTACTTCTGCCCTGATTTAGCCATATTGCATATACACCATCACTCAACTATTCCCTGTCTTCAAAGGCAGAGGCTGTGATTCCACCCACTGCTATATTGTCATATAGGGAATTGATGTCAGAGAGGTAGCTCTAAATCTATTCAGTGCCTTCTTTAAGAAATGGTAGTGGATTCCATGCTGCTGACTGAGAGCTGGGAACAGACTGAAAAAACATAGTAGCTTAAAGAATCCTCCCCTCTCCCATAGCCTTCCTACTCCACAGCTGACTAAAGAACTCCAAGAGGAGTCAGAGGGGCAGAATAATCGTTCAGCTGCAGCAGAGGGGAAAGGAAAGATAGTGCTACAAGCAAAGCAGTTTCAGAAGAGATGGGATCTGAAATTTGGTTTGCACATTAGTGGTAAAATTCTCTTTGACTTTAGAGGGGTTAGGGTTTTATCCAATCACCTCATTTAGCCAAGTTCTTTACCCACCAAGAAGCTCCACCCTAATCAGAGCAGATTCAGGCCCCTTCCTCAAGACACCACTTGGCATGCAAACACTTCACATGGCTCTATGGTGCCTACTCCCTCCCTTTTAGGGTCCTTAGTGTCAGGATTTTGCCTATATTCTTAAGTGCAAAAAACATAAAATCATTGAAGTTGGGGAGGGCAGGGTGCGTAATGTGAGAGGGAGAAATGTGTTGACCAGAAACTACCCAAACCATGTGAGTTCATTTTACATCACTGGATGGTAGACATCAACATGCCAACACGACCTAGTATTATGAGCTTTAATTGATCAAGAATTTTGCTTTGCCTGTATCTAGAACTGTAAAACTATCCCTATCGATGTATTTTACTCATGTATTCATATCCGGACTGTTTGTTTTTTGGCTGTCGTTGCAGCTTGTGGTGGCCTCTTCAATGGATCCTTTGGCACAATCAGGAGCCCCACCCATTCAATTACTGATTACCACAACAATATGAACTGCTCATACCACATCACAGTTGGAAACAACAAAGTGGTGGCACTCAAGTATGTAATCCAAGTTCACTTTCGCATCAGGGGATAGAAAGGTCTTCGGTTGTGATATAAAAAAAGGCTTTTGGTAAACCCAAGAAGTCATTAAATCCTTGCTGTTTCCAATAGACAACTCAAAGCAGAATTAAGGAATGCCAGTTTGAAAACAGAACCCACCCTCATTATCTCCATAGAAACCAAACTTCTTCAAGACTGGTGGAGTCTTACCATCAATTTGTTGTTATTTTTAAGACATCACTTTAATTTTAGCTTGCTACTGTGGTTTGCAAAGGAACTAAATTATCTCCTAAACTGCTTTTTGTCCTCTTGGCTAATCTTTACCACTCCATTGCTTTTAAGTGTTAATAATATTGTTAATAGTTAAGAATAAGATAACTAAAAATCCTGTTTGGAAAACTAATGACCTCTTTTCCTTTTAATTCAAATAATAGCCCCTTTCCAGAAATGGTATAATTATGTGCACTGTCCCTCCTTAAAAATGGCCATAGATTTTGCTGCTAAAAACTTAGGGCAGTCTTACACGTGCGCTGGAGTTAGGTGGGGAGGGGAAAGGACATGCTCTGAGAGAAAGCCCCTCTAATGAAAGTACCCAAAGAGTCTCATGTATTAGCATCTCTGAACTTCAAAATGGCACTGGGGAGACTTTATGTGAAGCTCATCAAACAAGCTTTAGTTAAAAAGCCCCCGTCGCCATTTTGAAGTGTGGGGATGCTGATGCACAAGATGCGGAGGCTGGGTAGAGCATGCTAGTTAGCACGCTCTAGCAGACTTGATTAATCAAGCCTCCCAGCTCATGTGCAGGCACCCTTACAAAATAAAAGTTATGATGTTAATACCTAGCATGAGGTAGAGGCAGACTTATGAAAAACTGTGTATGTGATAGAATACAGTAATTTCCTTCTGTGATAAGGTGACAGGCTCTGTGGTTGGGGGAATGTGAGATACCTTGATTTTAGCAAAGCTTTTGACACTGTCCCCTACAACATTTTTATTAACAAGCTAAGCAAAAACAGACTAGATTAAATTACTGTAAAATGAATACAAAACTGTTTGGATCATCATGCTCAGTGAACAGTCATCAATGGCTCAATGTCTAGTTGGGAGGAGGCATTATGTGGGTTTCACCAGGGGTCTGTCCTGGGTCTGGTATTGTTTAACATCTTTGTTAATAATTTTGACAATGAGATTAAGGGTACACTTAGCAATTTTGTGGATGACATCAAGTTGGGTGGAATTGCGGACACGCTAGTGGATAGGGCTAGCATCCAGAATGACTAGAATAGACTGGAGAAATAATCCATAATTAAACAGATGAATTTCAGCAGGAACAAATATGAAGTCCTGCACTCCAAATGAAATGCATGCACAGATACAGACCAGGGAAGGACTAAATAGGATCCAGTTAGTACTGAGTTAGTACAGAAGAATGACCTCAGAGTTACAATAGACCATAAGTGAAATATGAACCAACATTGTCCTCCTGTTGCCAAAAAAGCCAATGACATCAAGACATCCTGAGTTGTATTAAGAGCAGCATCTCTTATATATCAAAGGAAATGATTCTTCACTGTTCAATACTGATGACGCCTCACATGGAGTACTGTGTCCAGATTTGGGCCCCACATTTCAAGAAAAGTGCTGACTTATTGGAAAGGGTCCAGCAGAGAGCAACAAATATGATTAGAGACCTGACTTACGAGGAAAGGCTGAAAGGGCTCGGATTATTTAGTCTGCAGAGGAGCAGACTGAGTGGGGCTTTGATAATAGGATTCAAATACCTGGAGGGCAATTGTAGAGAAGATGAAGATAGACTATGATCTGTCGCCATAGGGGACAGGACTCTGAGCAGTGGTCTCAAGCTGCAACACAGGATTAGCAGGACCTTTCTGACTATGAGGGTGGTCAAGCATTGGAACAGGCTATCTAGAAAGCTAGAAAGAATCACCATTCTTGAAAATTTTCAAGAGCAGGTTGTATAGACGCTTAGCTGGGATGGTTTAAATCAGGAATAATCCTGCCTTGAGACAGGCTGGACTAGATGTCCTCATGAGATCTCTTCCAGCCTTGTTTTCCTATGATCCTATGAATATATATGCCCATCTAAGGATGTTGTCGTGTGCCCATATATGCCCATCAACCCAGGATGTTGCTTGCCGGCCTGGGGTCTGATGCTGCATTTGTGTTTATCAAATATGGGCATTGAAGACAATGATTGATTTGGCTATTTGCGTAAATGATATCAAACTGACTTTCAAAACTATGTTAGATCTGTATTGTTCATAGAAATAAAGAGTACCCATTCCTGGAGTGCTTGCAACTGGTTACCAAGATTCACGGACAACACATGGTATCTTATAAGTGTACTTGGCCACAAGGGAATGTACTTACTAGTTTCTAAAACATTTTTTCCTCTTATCATGAAAGGCAAAGTATCTTCCCTGATTTCTTCCCAAGAGGGAAACTTGAACAGTAGCTGCCCACACTGTATCTGGCTCTGGCCATTGGTATTAATAGGCATTTTCCCAGGCGCTAAAAAAATACTATATCTGATTAAAAATGAGACCAGTGCATCCTAATCCCACAATGTATTTTACAGGTTTAATGATTTCCATCTTGAAGCCTCTTCCTCCTGTTACAAAGATTATGTGGCTCTGTACGATGGCTTGAACATCTACACTCCAGTCCTTGGCAAATTCTGTGGCTCAGAGCTTCCTCCAACTATTAAGAGCTCCAGCAATAACTTGCTCCTAGTATTTAAGACTGACTTTTTTCAAGTAGCTGGAGGTTGGAAAGCATCTTTCAGAGAGACAATAGGTAAGAATGCTATTCATATTAGTAGCTCCCAGCTACCTGCTGATGAATTATCTCCTTTGGTGAACTACTGCTGTAGTCTCTGAGCAACAGGAAAAGTCTCTTACTTGTGCAAGAGGCAGTTTAGTCTAATAGACTAAGCACAAGGTGGAGAAGGGGGGATTTGTGCATTCCAGTCTCAGCTCTAATGTGACTCCATGCATTCTTTAGTTTAACTGTTACCTACCTCAGATAATATATAGATAATAGAAATCCCTTACTTAACTGATGGTCTAAAAGTATCCAGATCCTCCCACTCTATAAGGATACTGAGATAGCACTGGAGCTCTAATTCTTTTGCAGATAGATTACCTGTAGATACTATATTTAGTATATTTACTATATTTAGTTACATACCAAGAGGGACAAGTTTAGAGGGTGCAGTTTCACCCACTTCCCTTTGGACCATGCTGCAGAAGCGACATCCAGGGACTAAAAAAAAGCACTCAAAGCTCATCTTTGGCACCCTGTCCCTTTCCCTCCATGCTTAGTGACACCTCCCCTTCCCTCCCATTCCCCACCTCCCCTGGCTGTTGCTGGCACTGCCCCCAGTTGATCTGGGGGTAGCAGGTGCTCTTGCCACACCCGAGCCAGGCTGCATGGGTGAGTCAGGCTCAGCCAGGGACAGCAACCATGTCAGACAGATTCTTCCTACCTGCCCAGCTACAGGGAGCTCCAAGCCCCCCACTCCAAGATAATGACTGGGGAGCAGGGCCTGGGAGATGCTTATCTCCCAGCATTAGCTCTGCTGACAGGGGCTGGGGAGCTTGTTTCCTGTCCAGCTCTGTGAGTCCAGAGCTAGATGAGGAACACACTCAGGAGAATGATCCCTGTTCAGCTCCCTGCTCACGGAGCTGAGCGGGAAACAAATGGGCCCAGCCTGTTTGTAGCAGGGGACTTTTGGTGCCTGCCACTTTAACGGCTAGGCCAGGGAGAGGGCAGGTGCCTGATGAGGGTGGCCATTTAATGCCCAGCTCTCTGTGTTGAAGGGGAGCAGTTTGTGACCAGCCAGCAGGGAAGAAACATCTCCCTGCTGAGCTCTGCTGCTCCAGGAAGACCCCCACCCAGCGCTGCACTTACAGAGCTGACTGGGGAACAAGTTCCCCAGCCTCCTCCCTGCGTGTTGGCCAGGGGCTGGGAACTGTCCTGGTCAAAGGCAGAGCCCAGCCTCATGCCCTAATCACATGATCGAGGCATGGGGCTTGGAAAGAGTTGCAGGGATGGGGTAGGTCCCAACCCCCTGCCCCAATCCACAAGTGGGGCAGCTAGCAGCAAGCTAGCTGCTAGCTGCCCCACCGGTGGATTGAGGCAGGAGTGTGGGACATGCCCCACCCCTGCAGCTTTTTCCATGTCCCCCACCCCTGAATGGGGAGCCAGGGCCAGGAGCTCCCTGCTGCTGGGTTAGGGGGACATTGTCCCCACCCAGAAAGCAGGTAGGCCCCGTAGGGTGTAATGTCCCAGCTCTGGCCAGGAGACAGCTGTCTCCTGGCCCAGTGGTCCCTGCCAGCCTCTGGGCTAGCACCAGGGGGAGCCTAGAGCTCCCCCTTGTGGCAGCAGGGACCCATATTAGGGCCCCAGGAAGCGGGAGCAGTTTGGTGCATTAGCAGGAAATCTGCTCCCACTTCCCTGCACATGTAGATGCTTTCCCGGGAGCATTTACTCACAAGTAAACTGATCTCAGATTAAATGCATGTCTAGACATGCCCACTGTCAGACTGACACCTGTTGCTACAGGTTTCAGGGGGTTTTCTTCCTCATCTTCCTCAGAAGCATTGGGCATTGGCTGTGGCCACAGCTGAGGGTTTTAAGTTGGGTGTGCCAGTGTTCCTGGCACTAAAACTCAGAGGCTCCTGGTTACAGGGTCTTGCCCTTCTGCTCAAGACTGATCACTACAGTTGGGATCAGAAAGGAATATTACCTCATGGTCAAATTCGTATAGACTGGGTGGTGGCAGGAGGTTGTTTTCCTCTGTAATGGGGTCATGGCCCTCTTCCTTGGATCATTTGAGTGAGTTTTAACATTTGCAGCAGTGGAACACTTACAGCCCTTGTCCCCCTGCTTTACATGTAGCAGGGTATGGTGCTCTTCATGTTTTGAGGCACCAGTAGGCTCAAACCTTGTAGTATAACATGGTCACTTATGTAGTTCAGGACTAGGTTAGACAACCACTTGCATAGGATGGTTTAGATAGGGATGATCCTGCCCTGAGCAGGTACTGAACCAGATAACTTCATGAAGTCCCTTCCAACCCTATTTTCATATAATCCTGATGTCTGAATTGTTGGAGATGATAAGATGCAAATGATTATCATGTGTATTTCCATGTCTAATTAATTCATGAGTCGCTGGGACAGAAGGAAGCAATTGTCATGTTTACCAAGTATGCACTCAGATATGTCAGAATGAAAGTTCCTTTTGGCAGGATAAACATAGTTTTTTGCTGAGTTGTTGAACCCCTCCCCAGCAGCCAATAGTTATTTCTCATTCATTACAGGCTGAGTAAAGTATTTAAATATAGGAAGTATAACAGAACCACATTCTTTGCCAAACATAATATTCCCACAGAAACTCATGTCCATTATAATTGTTAACTCCTCTTTGCTATAATACAGTGATTGCAGCAGAAAACTTTAAAATCAGCCATGTGAACTGTCTTCTCATGTAATCAGTCAAATCTGTTTCTGCCAACATTGGTTCCATATGTTGCTGTCTGTGAAAAGCTATAAGATATCAATTATGATATAGTCCCACAACCATGAGTCTGTGCTTCCAGGGTGACATCAGCAGGAACTCCAAAAGCTGAGAAGTTTTGAAGTTTTTCTTGGACACTGGCAAGTTGTCAGAACTCCCTTTGTAGTTAGCTTTAGATTTACTTGCATGGCTTGCCAAGAGTTCTGTTCAAGGATATGGTGGGAGGATGGCCAGCTTCTCAGTGAAATAGCAAAAATGTCTAACAGGCCTAAAAGCAATAAATTGAAAAAATTAAAGTAAATCTAAAGCAAGTTAGTGTCAGTGACTTCTAGGGAGAAGAAAATTTTGTCTCAGAGTTTGGTCAGGGATGAAATAATTCTCCTTGCTGGTGCTGTATATGTTGTATGTCTCAATGTACTTGATTTTTTTTATCATCATTTTCATTCCCTCCCCTCCTGTGGGAAGCAATCCACAAGGAATAAGTTATATGCCCTTTATACAGGATTCTGAGGGCCTCATGCTTACAGAAATCAGCCAAGAAACAGAAAAAAATATTTGTATATAACGACAAATGAGTCACAATCCCATAAACCTTTACAGCTTGGCTTGGCTGCATGATCACTCCAGGAAGTTGTATAACACTTCTTTGTAACAGAAGCACAAAGATTCTGGTTAAAATGAAAGAATTGAACCATAAAACCTGGAGCGCTGTTTTGTTTGTTTTTTTAAAAACAAAAATTACTCTTTAGAGTGACTCTCTCATCTCTGTTAAAAGAAAAATCCCTCTTGGTTTTGGATTTCTACAAGAGCAAATATATTCAGATGACAATTTAGAACTGTAAATTACTCCAATAAGTAGCATCGTATCTGTCAAGCAACTGCAAGCATTGCTTTCTATTAATCTACAGTGAGTACATTATTCTGTCGCTACACTGGAGAAGCACAACTGGATAATGTAATTATTATGTTCTGTTTAATGTTGTCAGTGACCCTGATTAAGTCTTGGAAAGGAATCAGTAGAAACAGAAAACTCATTGGCAGAAAAATAAACTTCACTATTTCCTTTTTCATAAGATCTTCCAATTTCCTTACTGATCAGGATTTTATTAAAGAAGTTGCCAAAAGTAGGGTTTATCTATAGTTATTCTTTTATGACTTACGTTAAAAAGTGATTGATTTCCTAACTAAAATAGTGAGAGGAGGATTGGCAAGTGTGTGTAACTGACAAAAACTTTGTAGGTTGCATGATAAATAGGCACAGAGGAGTTATGGCTTGCTATTTGAAGTAAAGGATAACACCATTTTTTGATTAAAGCAGTTAATTTGTATCACTAATCCTGTGCTCAGTTCAAGAGCAGAATTCTGTCCACCAGGCATGAAAAAAACAACAATATTAATTCATTATTATTAGTTTGGCAGGATAACAATCATTAGCCTCTATCTTAAATGTTACTTTTTTTAGAGATATGCTACTTATGCATTTGACACTACATTATCAAGCAAACACTTCATAAGCTACAGTCTTTCTCACAAATACTTTTGTGATCTGAAACCTTTGGACTTGTGTGAAGCATGGCATCTGTTACAGTCTTGTGAGATTGTGCCCAAATTTTGGCGTACATTCCACACGTCTTTGCTACAGTTCTTATGTTACTAAAGGTTACATCAAACCAAACCCCCCTGAGTTAGAACATAACTGAAAGATTGTTTTCAGGATACTAACTTTGATGCAGGTCTGAATTTCACAGCTGAGTTCCTATTTATATAATGGGTCAAAGTGTGGCCTCTAGGTCAAATATACATGAACTTTGCAGATAGTTCAAAATGTGGATTCACAAGTGCTGCTTTTCAGTGTCATCTCTGCTGCAATGCAGTGGTTAAATCCATAACCATGAATGGAGAAGCCAAGTTTGTAGAGACTGTCCTAAATGCCAGACTTGTGGGAAGGAACATTTCAGTTGCCTTAATTAATGTCTTTTTCCCTTTGTGCCTTAGTTTTTGATCTGTAAAATGAGGATGATGTCTTATGTAATAGAATGAATGCAAGTCTCTTCAGTGCTGGGGGAGAAAAATCAGTAAGAGGCTGGGGAGGTAAATCTATTTTGGTGAGAAGACAAGCTACTGTAGAGGAAGAAATGTGAAGATTTAATTTTACCTACCAAGGAGTGGACCCTTGCAAAGTTGTGTCTTGCCCTCTTGAGAGAGGAACTTGGTTCCTTAATCACCTATTGCACAGTTCTCAATTCTGTCCATACTAGGACTCTATTTCTGCC